TATATAGACGTTTGTTCTGGCGAAAAAACGCAGTATTATAGGCAATACAAAACAAATTTTGGGATTGAAAACTATGTGACATTGCCACAATTAAAATTGCGCAGAGCAATAGCAATAGCAAGATTAAGATGTGCGTGCCATCCGTTAGAAATAGAAAGAGGCAGACATAATAATATCCCTAGGGAGGGCCGTATTTGTCATTTGTGCCTGCAAGAAATTGATGATGAATATCATTTTTTACTAAAATGCACTGCATGGGACACAATCAGGAAAAAGTATCTTCCAAATGAGACACAACCCCCAAATTTGAATACTCTAGTACAACTATTAAGTTCCTCTAAAAGCCAAATCATTAACTCTTTGGCTCTATTTATTTATAAGTGTTTTTTAATCAAAGATCAAATGAGAATAACCTAATAAGCTTGTATGTATATATTAATATCCCTATCACATTATTATATAGGGCTTATATTATCTATTGACACACTCTTCATCTATATTTTCATACATATTTTGTAATATAAATTTATTTCTTGTCAATAATTAATTTGCATGATTGTAATGGGCCGGAGGCCATTATACAATTAATACAATTATTATTATTAAAATTATTATTATGTAGTTTGCTTCGATCAGAATATATTCTTTGTAAACACAGCGTGTCACTCATTTCTGAACCCCTATCAAACATGTTTATTTCTGTATGGAAAAATATGCTCTTTTAATTGTGAACAATTTATAATGTGTGAATGTTTCCAGGAGCACTGTGTAAAAAATTTCAATGGAAACACTGATAAACAAGTCATTGAAAATGACACAGTCCCCGTTAAATTTGTGAAAGTTTTCTTTGTGCTCGTCATATTAAAGTGGAGGGGCTTTCACGAGTGTGTCATTGAAACTTGAGACCCAAGTGAAAGCATGTCCAAGTTATCACATTGTATCCATTTATGACATACTAAATATCAATGAAAATGCTACATGCGTGACAGAGATTTGGAAATATGGCCAAAAATAAAAACAGCCGTTATTCAGCCAAATTTGATCTGATTATGAAACAAACTGACATGTATGATGTATGTGCCAAATACGAATGAAAATGATACATAAATCTTGGAAATATAGTAGTAAGGCCAAAAATTCAGATGGCTGTCAATCAGCAATACTTGATCCGATTTTGAAACAAATTGTCATGGACATGTATCCTAACATGTATAAAGTATGTGCCAAATTTGAATGAAAACTGACAAAGCATGTCCAATATACCACATTTAAAAAAACAAACAAGATGCCTGCCAGTCGGCCATCTTTGATCCAGTTGCGAAAGAAATTGTCATGGACATGTATCCTAACATGTATAATCTATTTACCAAGTTTGAATGAAAACTGACAAAGCATGTCCAAAATATAACATTTTTAAAAAACAAGATGGCTGCCAGTCGGCCATTTTGAATCGAATCGCTAAACCACTGCATGTGCATATGTCCCACATAAAGTACTAGGCACATGCAAAGAATGAACGGAATCGGTTCAAAGGATTCTGAAATATGACTCCGGACACACACACACACAGACGGACGGACGGACGGACGGACGGTCGGACGGAGACCGAATTATAAGTTCCCGTTTTCGGACTTCATCTGCTATGTTCCGGGTTAACGCAAGTTTTAAACCCAAATCAGGGTATGCATTAAAAAGTTAAATAGTTTAAGTGCACTTTCACCTAAAAGTG